TGTTGTATTTGTCATTTGTGTTAATTAAAAATATTTTTTAATAAGAATTTCTTTTATTTTATATGACCTTGGTGCGAGAATTTTATAAGTATCATTGACGCTTACTTGCTTTGATTTTAGTTTAGATGTTAAGTAGCTCTTCCTTGTCCTCCGCCACTTCTCCCGCACCACTTCCTCCACCACTTTCTCCGCACCCACTTCCTCCACCATTTTTCCTCCATCTCAGCGTCCTCACCCACCTTCCTCTCCTGCAACGATATTTCACTTCTTTTCCTCTTCACCGCCACCTCTTTCTCCACCACCATTCCTTTATCACTTCCCTTTCCCCAGCTCACCATCTTCTCCTCCTTCTCCTCCAACAGTATCTCCCTCCACCACTTCCTCCGCCACCTTCTCAATCGCTCTCCCACCACCTTCACCACATCCTGACCAATCTGTCCTCTTCCACCAACACCGCCTCCTTCTCCACCAACATCTCCTTCTTCCTCCACCACCTTCCCATCTTCTCCCCCTCACCACCTCCCCATCTCCCCCCATCCTTTCCTCCCATCTCCCCCCATCCTTCCTCCCCATCTCCTCCCACCACCCATCCTTCCTCCACACCTCCCCATTTCCCCCCCCATATTTTCCCTCCATATCCCCTCCCACCATCCTTCCTCCACCACTCCCCCATCTCCCCTCTCCCATCCCTTCTCACCACTCCCCCATCTCCCCCCCCCAATTCCCTCACCACTCCCATCTCCCCCCCCATCTTCCTCCTCCCACTCCCCTCTCCCCTCCCTCACCTCCCCCCTCCCCCCCATTACCATCCTCCACCATCCTCCTCCACATCCCTATACTTCCTCCCCCACCCATTCCTTCCTCCACCACCTCCCCCATCTTCCCTCCCCCCCCACCATCCTCCTCCACCACCTCCCCCATCTTCCTCCCCCCATCTTCCATCCCCCCTCCTCCACCTCCCCCCCATCCTTCCTCCACCACTCCCCACCTTCCTCCCCCCATCCTTCACCACCCCCCCATCCTTCCTCCCCACCTCCCCCATATCCTTCTCCCCCCCATCCTTCCCCACCTCCCCAATCTCCCCACCCCCGCCCAATTTCCACCCCCGACGCATATACGGATTCAATCTGCATTCCGGTTGGCACTAAAAGATGGCCAGGGAGCTTCGTCGCTGGAGCGGAATGCGCAGAGAAGACGTGGCTTCCGGGGATTCGCTCCTAAGCCGGGCGATAAGATTGGCTCTCGTCGCCGGAGATCCATCTTGGGGAAGCGGTGATTAGCAGAAAACGAACACGCACACACGCACAACACACACACACAACGCACACACACGCACATCGCACGCAACGCACAACACGCACACACACACACACACACACACACACACACACACACACACACACACACACACACACACACACACGCATATATATATATATGTGTGTGTGTGTGTGTGTGTGTGTGTGTGTGTGTGTGTGTGTGTGTGTGTGTGTGTGTGAATATATTTATTTGTGTAGATAATCTGGTAGATAATTCGGTGAAATGATAAATAGAGAAATTAATGATTAACTGAATAAATACGTAGTGAACACTGGCATGACAAAATAAAGAGATGAATTAATAAATGAAGAGATAGAAGAATGAATAAATAGATATGACAAACAAACGATAAACACGCAAACAGATACATAAACAAGAAAGAGGATAAATAGACAGATAATAAACTAACAAAAGAACAAAGAAATAGATACATAGATTAATGAACAAAAGCTTATGCATATTAAAACAAACAGGCAAATTAGCCATCCTAGAGCGTGTCCTGTGTTAGAGAGAGAAAGCGTGATGTTGAGGGCATCAGATCATTAATAAATGAATTGACAAATAAGTGATAATAACAAATAAATAAAACAAAAATGTTGTTTGAGGATAAATCATTAGTGATTATAACAAAATATAAACAAAAACGTTGTTTGAGGATAAATCATTAGTATTATAAATAAATAAAATAAAAATGTTGTTTGAGGATAAATCATTAGTGATTATAACAAATAAATAAAAAAAAATGTTGTTTGAGGATAAATCATTAGTGATTATACAAATAAATAAACAAAAATGTTGTTTGAGGATAAATCATTAGTGATTATAAAATAAATAAAATTATAGATGTTGTTTGTGATTAAATCATTTGGAGAATAAAAGGGACAGCCAGTGGGTGTTTTCCTGCTTTTGTGTAGGTATATATGTTCGTATTTATATCTTTATCTTAACTTTATCTAACAATCTATGTAAGCACGTAGTTACTTATCCATTCATTAATTTACCTGTCTACCTATTTAACTTTCTATCAATGATGCTTTTTACTGTTATTTCTAGGTTTTGGAATAGGTTGCTGTCAGAGATTGTAACTTCTCCGACTCTTGATAAGTTTAAAAGTCAAGTAATTTGTAAATATCTGAGGATATCTGTCTTCTCTTTCTTTCTTATCTCCGATATCCATAGTGGCTCTTTATACGGATTATCATGATGATAATAATCATAATTAAAGCCAAAAGAGAAATAATAATAGTTGTAATAATAATGATTATAATAGCAACACTAATGATAATAATGATAACGATGATAATGATCATGTTAATAATAACATAATTTAAACAAAAACGAAAAATGATAGAATAATGATAATAATGACTGTGATAACAACAACATAACAATATAATGATCAATAATAATATAATAATAGTGATCATGAACATAATGATATAATATGATTATGAT